TTGTAGTTTTACAATTATTTTAGTTCCTTTCTAACACGAGAAAGGTAAAAGATTTAACTGAATTTCATTTGAAAGAAAATAAAAAGCATACAATATTGAGGTTTTCAAAAAATTTAAAATTGCATTGGTGGGATTGTGAAGTGCTCCAAATCAGTTAAGATATTGAGAGAAATTCATCTTTGATTTTTCTTCAACCAAAAGGGCCCGTCAGCAGAAAAGGGTGAGTAATTTTAAAAAGCAGCTCTTATCATGAAAATATTGGAAAGTTGCATTCAAAAATATAGTTAGGAGAGTTAGGTAGAATAATAATTGCAGAAATAGTTTTATGTTGTTATAGTAATTGCAGAGAATCACAGAGACTACACTATTCAATGTTTGTTAATACATTATTGCTATATAACTAAGAATTAGTATAATAAAATTTAAAAATGATGAATCCAAGCATGCTTGTAGCAGTTTTGTGAACTCTCAACTGCAGCTACCCAATAGGATTTTTAGATATAGACAAGGTGAATAAAATATGTTCAATTTCTCTTGCAATACAAATGAAAAAAATCCTGCAAGGTATTTCTTTAGTTTACAAATACCCTTTTTCAGGGGGAATAAGTATGCCTACATCTTAAAATACAAAATACAAAACTGTAATTCTCAAGCAAAAAATGTGTAGAAGATTTTGGTTTAGTTACTGTGCAGTAATAGCTTCCAAAATTGGCTAATATTCTCATATAGTTTGATTCTCAAATTACAATCCTAAAGGTAACTAGGATTATGTCTGAGAAGAGATAGGACTGGATTCTCATTTAAATAATAAATGATTAAATTCTGAAAGACCAGGACAAAATGGTGGCTGGTTATATATTGTAAGATGAGTAAGATGAAATTTCAACTAGTACTGTTCTAGGCCTGTATTGATTTATTCTAAAACTACTCCTCTAACTTTCCAGCAAATGGCATTTCAGGCAGATAAGAATGTTGTTATATTTAAGCTAGAATAACTTGGCAACAACTTTCCTAAAGCTAAATCCAGTAGCACACTAAATATTCAGAATTCAAAGGCCAGCATTCAGAAAGACAGTGAGTTTCATAGTGGAATATGATGTGATAGGAATATATGATACATAACATATAAAATTTGAACTGAGACTGCTTCAAAAGGGAGGAAAAAAAGACAAGAAACATGCAATATTAAAATCCCTTTTTCCCATTCCTTATTTGGAAAAACAAACTAGCATATTTAGGAATTTTCATTTGCAGTCAGCATGATCAACCTGCTAAATATGTATAGCTAAAAAAAAAGAAAAAGGGGGGGGGGCAGTTGACAACACAGATCCAAACAGGCTGAAACTCTTCAACGTATACGGCTGGTTTAGTTAGGAGTTTGATATTCACCTTGGTTACAATAATTTTCTAGAGCAAAAATTATCACGTTTGCCTTAGCTCAGTGTTTCTCAACCTTGGCAACTTGAAGATGTCCGGACTTCAACTCCCAGAATTCCCCAGCCAGCATAGCATAGGAAAGGAAAGCATAGCTGGCTGGGGAATTCTGAGAGTTGAAGTCCACAGGATTTAAAGTTGCCAAGGTTGAGAAACACTGCCTTAGCTGGTTTCTGTCCATTTGGAATGAGATCATGTTGGCGCTCATTCCAGTCAGTTGAGATTAAATCCCTGAGAGCATATTGGCACCTACAGCCAAATGAGCAGCAAAGCTACTACGCCCTGGGGTTTCTTGACAAAACAGCTCTCCGTATTACCCGCGTGGTAAAGGAATATAAATGAAATCTTGAGCCAAGATCATAAATAGAAATCCAGGCAAATGCCCTTCACATCTGCGTTCCTCAACGTGTCATTTTTAACCAACAGCATGGTGGGGTTTACCCTTCCTTTGCTGCCATGAAAGGGGATCCGGATACACAGCAAGGCCCTCAAGGAGAGCCAGATGATAGCACAGATGGCAGATGACAAATCTGGCAAGGTTTGACGGGTGGAAATTGCTTGCTCTAATTGCTTGTCAAGTCCAGTACCTATGTCAGAGCTAAGGACTGAAGCTCAAGGCAAAACAACATCAGAACAAAGGAAAGGAGAGGCTGGTAGAGATGGAGAAGGTGGGGGGGAAATAGCTCATTTATCTGCGGCCTAGAGTAAAAAAGATGGTTCCATAAAAACAGTTGTAGCTACTTAACAGGCATGATGTCGTCCCTGCAGTATAAATTCACAACATTTGAACAAAGCAGGAGGCTTCAGATGGTTGGTAATTCAGAGAAGAACTTGGTGACTGAGAAAGGAACCTATTACAAGATGACAGATTTGTGTCCTAGCCATAAATAATGTACTAAACAAAATATTCAAAACTAGAGTATTTCTATAATATTGACTAAAATTAAATTGCTCCCAATACTTGAATATAGAACTTTTTAAAAGCAGGCGTGGGAAGGAATATTGCATTATGCAGCTTTCATGGATATTGGGAATTACCTATCGAATATTTTACTATCATGGCCACAGGCAACTCTTCCTCTCTACATTGATGAGATATAGGTAGACTAGACCAGAATAGTCTGTTTTGCCTTTTCCCCCTCTTCTGCTCAATTGTGTCCAATTCTTGGAGGCAGCCTGGACAAATCCCTGCAGTTTTCTTGGTAAGGCTTTTTCAGGACTACTTTGCAATAGCCATTGGTTTCCTCCTGGGGCTGAGAGAAAGTGACTGGTCCAAGGTCACCCAGCTGGCTTTCTGCCCAAGGAAGGGCTACAATAATCATAATCTTTGGTTTATAGCTGTATACGTTTATCATTATAGCAAACTGGCTCACTGTTTTGCCTCTAGATGGCTATTAAAACTGCCAGGGCAAATGAGATAGCAATTGTTTAACAAAGTCCTCTATTGGTGTCCCAAGTTAACCCATGTAATTGTGAACTCAAACCCACCTCGATTATTTTTCTTGGCAGTTTATATATTAGTATTAATTTTTATTATTCTTGCTTTGGGAGGACTGCTGTAAGGCATTGACCAGGCATGTCAGAACCAAGAAGCAAATCCCAAACTACCTTTACTTTTGGCTGGAAGTCAGCTGATTATCTGACTACCATGTAGTTGATTCTCTTCCATTTAGGCTGCTTAACACTTTCCCTCCCACTGTTAACCTGATAAGGCATTTTGTATAAATAGCAATAGCAATAGCAGCTAGACTTATATACCGCTTCATAGGGCTTTCAGCCCTCTCTAAGCGGTTTACAGAGTCAGCATATTGTCCCGACAGTCTGGGTCCTCATTTCACCCACCTCGGAAGGATGGAAGGCCGAGTCAACCTTGAGCCGGTGAGATTTGAACCGCCGAACTACAGCTAGCAGTCAGCTGAAGTGGCCTGCAGTACTGCACTCTTACCACTCCGCCACCTCGGCTCTACCTCACGAGCATTCAAAAAAGACAAGATAATGGTTATGTCCACGTGAATATGTTGACACTACCACTGTCATCTTCATTTATTTTTTATTCTCACCCCTGCAGTAACTAAAGAAAGAGTTAAAACTGAAAATAAGTATACAGTGCAATATTTGGATGGCCTTACTCAAACAATGAGAGATACTATAATTTTGACAAATAACTCTTCCGCATAGCTGCAAATAATCTTTATATTTTAAGATATCCAAGCATTATTATGATTTGCAATCATGCAAGACTACTACAGATTTTTTTTTTAAAAAAATCTGTAGTAGTCTTGCATGATTGCAAATCTCATCATATTTGGTTTATCACATCTCTGATTTAAAGTGAGTATAGATGTGTTTAAGACTTTGCAGTAATATAAAAAACATTTCAAACGTCTTCTTTGTATACTTGTTTGCTTTTAGCATTCAAAAGTGATACTTGCAATCTAATAAGGATAGACTTCTTATTGAATAGGGTGGGGAGAGTAAATACTGTAGCTGATTTTGTAAATAGCCAAATTCCACATTCTTTGGGCTCTGTGTGTGTGTGTGTGGGGAGCAAATGACTGTGATTTCATCCCACCTCTTCCCCATATCCCTGATTTCAAAATCCATTTTTTCTATCTTCTTTACTCATTTTTAATAGTTTATGTTGGAAAAAAATAGTTAAACAAACAAAAATTTTTCTATTTGGAGCAGAAGTGTTTCTGCTATAATGACACGCCCATGCTGCACTGATATAAATTCAGCATTGCTGTAATGGCTCCTCTCCTAACTTAAGAAAGTAAAGACTCTTGAAACAGATTATTTCAAAAGGAACCTTTAATTAAGCAGGATGGAAACCATTAGAGGCAAAGCAGCATCTGAAACCCTTTAGGCAATGCAACTGATAATGACCCCTCCCCTTTGTCCGAATGCAGATTCCGACCAATACACAAGGGTGAAAAAGTTTCCTTAACTCTTCTGCCCTGAGAGTTGAATAAAACACAAGTTTCCGTGGCTATCTCTAGTTAGACATTAAAGTAAGATATCCTACATGGCCATCATAAACATCCCTTCAGAGGTACTGAGACCTCCAGCCTTCCAGTGACAGGAAACCAGTTGTAAATCTCAGTTGTTACATGTACTGCTAGTAATTTAACTCCAAAGCCCCCCTCCTCCCAATTGAATGGCAGTATTACGTAAGGGATCGGACAATTGCTTTAACTGCTTCCAAACCCATTGCAGGATATGCACACTTCTGAAATTTTATTGTGGTTATTGGCATGGATGCTTTTCTCATTTTTGTTCAGAATTCCATGTCATCTATTCTGAGGGCTTCACTTTTGTAATCCTGGTGGAGTTTCAAATAATTTTCTTAATGTTGCATATAGCAGCGAATAGTAAAAAATTAGGAGAGTGAGGAAATTACTGTAGATATGAAATAATTTATATATACCTAAATTAATTGACTGGAATATATTTTATATGAGTACCCACAATCATTTAACTTTATATAAATTACAATATATGAATTTTGGGGCACACATTTATATTAGTTCTTACTCATTATTCCCATTCTCCCATTTTTTTTACAGTTTGTGCTGGCACTGAGAACAAATTGAGCTCTCTGTCTGACCTTGAGCAACAGTATCGTACATTGCGAAAATATTATGAGAACTGTGAAGTAGTAATGGGTAATCTAGAAATCACCAGCATTGAACATAACCGAGATCTCTCCTTTTTACGGGTAAGTGATGTCTCACTTCCTTTGAAACACATGTAAGTAGATGTTTGCTATTGCATTGATGGTCTGAGTCAGTGTGGAGATTATGACTTTAGAGAGATTTGTGAATGATGTGATAAAATGCTCTTACTAGTGTTGCTCTTGTTCCTTTTCTTGTGTCCTATCGTGGTCTTTGCTTAGATTGATCTTACATTTTCTACTTTTAATGCAAACTGCTCAGCTGCTTTAGAGTGGGCTGGGCACTAAATATTGTAAAGAAATGCATATATGTGCCTTGTGGAATTATGGGGAATTTCATCACCAAGTGTCTCTGGTTAGGAAACAGAATAAATGTACTTTCTCTATGAAGTGAAGCTCCAGGCTGTTTCCCTGTGTTTCCTTAGCAATACTTCAGAGGCTAGATGAAAAAGAATACCATTGCATGCTTTAAAAAAAGAAGCTATCTTACATATAGAAATTATTGTTTGCTTCCTCAGTATATTATATTCTGTTGCTGGTGGTCAAGTTATGAATAGAGAAATGAGAAAATGCCACATGAAAGTGAAGAGAAGGCTTATGATTTTGTTTTCTATACAAAATTAGGGCACCTTAAAGTTTAAAAATATGTACCATTTTAAAATATTTTACTATATAGTGAATTTGTTAAATGATCATGCTAGTTATGCTGGCACTTTATCAATTCTACTTTATCTAAACTCCAGAAATTGTCTATTTTGACATAGTGAATGGATCTGGAGTATGGCTTGGAGAAGAAAAAAGAGGTTTGTTCTCATATAATCTTGGCAAGGGGAAAATAGTTGTGATTTTTGTTTCAGCAGAACAAGGTGAAACTTTTAGGAAGGCCATTTGCAAGGAAGGAAATGTACAGCATTGTGTAGGAATTAAGGCAAGAACTAGTGATGTCTTTCAAATATTTGGTACAGTTCTGTTATTTTGGATCATAATATGATGAACACGCATTTCTTTATGGAATAGCTTTGCCAAATTTCAGTTGCGCTGAAGAGATGGGAGTGTGCTTTGAGAAAAGGGTTGATAAAAATTAATGATGCCTTTAAAAAAAAGATGTGATGGAAGTTATTGTTGGGAATTGTGATGTGAGCTAAAGACTAAATGAACTGAATGATTTTCCATTGGAATTGTATTCCGTTAAGTTAAACTATCTAGTCTAAACTTTTAATCTTTAGCTGAATTGTGGTCAAGAAGGATGTATAGTCCAGTAATATGCATGCCCAGACATTTGCATGTGTGGTCTAAGCAGATACGGAAAGACAAAATCAGTCAGCTATTAATGATATACGGCAAAGTTCTTATTCTAACACACACTTGTGTTGTGTACTGTAATGTCTTACTATAAAAGCTTGGCATTTTGCCTCAGAGAAGTATAATATAGTGAGTTTTTGTGTGATTGACTGGACTCCGCAGATTCATAATAAAGATTTTGGGTAACTTTTAAAACCATTTCTTGACTGAATAGAGGAATATCCCAAACCTCATCCCTTAGCTAGTTAAAAAGGCTGCGGGGGTTTAGATTTAGATTTTTTTTTAGATTTTATTTGTGATTTATAGGCCGCCCTTTTCCCTGAGGGGACTCAGGGTGGCTTACAATTCATGGGAGGGGGAGTGCAAGACAAAACATAAGACAATACGTGAATGAGGAAAAAAAATAAAGCAATAAAACACAACTTTCATTCAACATTCGGGTGGGGCGAATTAGAATCTTATCCCTCATGTTCTTTCCCAAGAATTGTGGTGACTGGGACAATACTCGAGTTCCTGCCAAGGAGCACAACCTTTAAGACCCTTCCAGTATGAAGCTGAAATCACCTATTTGGGTCTGTTGGTTGAGGAAGTGATGCCAGTGTAGCAGTTAAAGTAAATGGAACATTAGTCCATAAGATTCCAGTGTAGATAATATGTCTGCAAAACTGTATGTAAGGGCTCTCCTTTGAGAGAGAATGTGAACATTTTGCCTTGGTGTTTTCCGGTCATAAAATGGGGTCGAGTTTGGGTTGTTTTTCAACCCTTTTTGTTAACCTGGGCACAGGCGGTTGACACCTTGAGACAGGAAAAGCAAGGGACGAATGCCAGAGTGTCATATCTGTAGGGATTGTATGAAGAGCTTTTTATGTGGAAACAGGGGTACGAAATGGATGTTTAGGAAAAAGGTCTGGAAGTGCTGGTAAGCCACGCAGGGGCACTCTGTTGGAACAGTTTTTACAGGCCTGGAAGCTGGGATGAGAGCCAGTTCAGCTTTGGATTAGTAAAAAGTGTATGTAATATCCTTTGCCATCAAGTTGCAAATAATGAACACTGTCAGGTATAGTATAATCTTTATTGCCATTGTATTTAAATACAACAAAATTGGTTGGTATGGGTAACGTATCAAATCTGTTGAATGAGGAAGCAATTATGGCTCTATTGAAGACTCAAATTTATTTCAAATAAAAACAAAAAAACAAAAGTTCTTTTTAGAACAAAAATCACATCTTGAAAAAAGCTTGGGTCATTATTTAATACAGTTCAGTAACATAACAGCCCTTTGCAGAAATCAAAGCTGTTTAGAAACCAATGCAATCTTCCTTAAAATACAAGCCTGCCAACAGTACTAAATCCTCCCCACCACCTCCACCGGTTGGACCGCAACTCCCTGGGGGATCATTGTCATCAAATCCATTTGGCCGAAAAGAACACGAAGCTGCAGATGCTTCTAGGGCCTGGGCTCCTATTGAGGACTCAAAATGTTCCTTATGTGGATGGACAAGAATGTCTCCAGACCCATCAAGTCCAAGTCCACCCCCCTTCACTGCAGGGAATATGAACAGTCTACCCCTTTTTTCTGCCAAGATGCAGCTGGAGCCACTAGAAAAGTCTGGGCCATGATTGGAATTCACAAACCCCTCTAGGCAAACTTAGGTGAGCACCTGAAAGTCCTGAAAGAGCTAAAGGATTTGATGCTGCTGTCAAGGTAGTGGAAGAACACCAGACTGCCATGCCCAAAGAAGTCTACCTGTGAAATGATGCCCAAGAGGATTATACATGCTATGGACAAAGTACAGACAGGATCATGTCTGCATGCAAAGCAGACCAAAACCAAACCAATCAACTGGTCTCACTTCCATGCAATTTGATGAAAATCAAGATAAGTTTTATGTTAGGTTCTCTGAGGAAGCAAAACAGTTCTTCAATGGGATCCAGAAAAATATAAAATAAATGTTTGTGTGTGAGAGAGAAATCTGAGAGTTATAGCAGCAGCTCCCTTTGTTAATCAATAATACGGACATCTGTAATTATTTTCATCAATATTGTCCAAGGTGGAACAGAAAAAAACATTCCTCAGTTGAGAGCGATTGCAACGTAAGTCCTTGAAAGGAGAAGAATGTTGAAGTTACTCAAGAATATTTCTCCAACCCCAACGATCAAAGCACAAAACACCTAGGATAAGAAATAGGATTAGGGTCAGGTGGCTCTGTGAATCAGTTTCTACAATAATGATTTTCTGTTTTCCTACTGAGGTTCTGCTATATATTACAATGGGTGTCCATGATTCAAATAACAATTCGGAGTTATCCTAGCAACCATAGAATGTGAAATTTGCTGGTTCCCCCCCCCCCTCCCTAGTCATTAAGTCACATTGAGGAGGTTTTTGGTTAATTTGTAGAAGAGTGGAACTCCAAGGAATGCAGTGGATCCAGAATTTTTTCCCCATGGTCCAGAGATACGCTACCTCAGCCACATGACAATGTGGTTCAGATTGCATCACTTTCTTTATAATTTGGGATTTGATTTATACGCATAATACACATACACATGGATGTACAAATGAGTACTTGAAATGTTCAATTGTTATGTCTCAAACAGCGTAACCCAAAGGGTAAGACAAGATGGTGCCAGTGGTAAAAGAATGGGGGTTGATCCATTACTTATCACCTCTTACTTGTCAAACTCCTAAAGAGCCTCCAGAAAAATTAATGGATGACTAACTGGTACATCTATGCTTGTATATATAGAATGGCTCCCAGGCATCTTTCCACTCAGTATCAGGCTTTGGGAGAATTTATTTTTAAAAAGAGTGTCCTCAGTTGATCCGTGTAGTTTTAGTAGTTTGAAACAATAACATATAAATTGTTAAGTGTATTTTGAAGTTGATAAACGTAAAGAAACAAGAGCAGCAGGTGGCAAATCTACAGATTCTCACTATTTTCTTTTTGTTGTTCTTCAGTGGTTCCCAAAAAAAGCATGTTTTTGTTTATTTTTACCTGAGGTTGCCCCCTCACAGATGTCTCAGCAAGAATAGCATCTCTAGTTAACGCTATAAATTATAGCTATTAGCATATAAAGAAAACAACAAAACAAAATACATTCTTGAAAGGAGGAGAAAAATAGATACAAGTAGCATGTTTATGGTAATCTTTCGACATTCATTAGTTTAAGGATGCTTCTTATTTCACTGTTTGAAAAAAAAAATGCTTCAGTGACCCAATTAAGAAACCAACCAACCAATTGTTCTACTTCAAACTTGGAAAATTAATTTTATTCTTTCTTATTCTCCTGATATGAAATGGGTTCCAGTAACAACTATATAAAGTGATAACTGTGTGCAATGCATTAGAGCAGTGCTTCTTAAACGCTTTGCTCTCAGAACCCCTTCCCACCTTTAACAATTCTGTAGGGCCCCAAAAGATCTTTCGTTTCTATGAGTTATTTTTATTGATTTTTACCATAGTAAAAATTAAAACATACACAACTGTAGAGCATTTATTGAAATGTGTAAAAATAACAGTAACATGTAAAAATGTGTAAAAATAACAGTAATGATAACTCATTTTTATTAATGTAATATTGATTATTAAAATGTCTATATTTTTAACAAACGTAACAATGAGAATAGTGTCACTGCTTTAAATTTTTATAAATACAAGTAAGTTTCATTTTGAGGACCCTCGAGTGCGTCTTGGGGGAGCCCCAGATGTCCTTGGACCATCCTTTATGAGTCTCTGCTTTAC